TCTGCCTGATCAGACAAGAATGCATTGCTCTGTTTGTGTTGCAAGGGAATGCTTGAAAAGCCAGAAGGCAAACCTCCGGGATGTTTAGTTGTATGTGTTCTCACCTAGGAAAGTTTCCAAGTTACACAAAATATTTAAGGAGTAACTGCCCCTCACCAGTGAGTCTCCATGGCCATATGGGGATTTGAACCCAGGTCTCCGGTTTCCTAGTCCACCACTCCATCCGCTGTATGCACAAACAGGCAAAACCTTTTTAAAAGGGTTTCTCTGGGTCCTCCTCTGACACCTTCCCCATGATTGTGCCAAACAGAAAGAGTGCCCACCAACAGCCAGCCGTGCCGAGGTGTCGGGAAAGGACTGGAACGGGCATTCTGGCTGAACCCTGAGCAATGGGGATGCCAGCAGGAAATGCCAGTGGCCATGGGGAAGCGGGAGGCGGATCAGCCCGGGGAGTGGATGGGCAAATGCCCTGGCAGGCAGGCTGGAGCCGCAGACCGCCGGTGGTGGGTGGGAACTGTGCCCGCAGCATGGGGCACGGCAGAGTTGAGGGAGGGAGGACAATCTTGGAGTAGCAGACGGAAGAAGGAAAGGGGCGGAAGGAGAGGATACCAGATTGAAACATGGCCTCCCTCGTCCTGTGAGCAGAGCGGGCCGTTCTCTCTTACTTCAAGGGGGGATTCTGGGAAGCCCAGCAATAGCAGGTTGGCCTTAACCAAGCGAAGTTTTTCTACCGAGCCAGGTTCCAGGCTGAGAGAACTCTGTCTCTCACTGGGCACACGAATTGGTGGGCAAGACTGGAGTCCCGCTGCCACCATAGCCAGCCCCCCCAATGACCCCTTTTTAGTCCACCCACCTCCTCTGTAATCATACCTGCCACAAAAGATGGCACACCCTTTTCTTGTATTAAAGATAAATCCTTTATTTCCAACAATGGATTATGTTTTATTCCAACATTCAACTCGATGCCTTCCTTCAGAGGCCTTTTCTTCAACTCCTAATTCTTACAATCCAAAAGGTCCCTCACAACAGGCAAGGATGTGGAAGGCTGACACTCAGCATTGAGCTTGGGGCCTGATCTCTCGGATGCTTTGTCCGGCTCTCTCTGGGTTGGGCGGGTAGAAACCCTCAAATGATTCCCAGACCTTCTTGCTTGGGACTGGTCGTGATCTGGGTTTTTAAGGGACTCTGCCCATAAGAGTTGACCTATGGGGTCTGAGACATTGCTGGTTCCCCCTCTTTCTGGCCCCCTCCCTCTTTTTCTTCCTCCTCTCTCCCTCCTAGTGGCTTTGGCAGCAAATGTTTCCACTCTGTTTATAACATGTATTTTAGATGTTTATAATCAATAGCCTTCTTCATGGATTGCTGCCTTGTCGAATAGCTCAATTTCTCTGAGTTGCTCCTTTTTCTCACTTTTTGGGAGCTCCGGTGTTTGACTGCAGGCTTCTAACTGGGATAGCTAACATGTCATCACTACTAGTTCTGGCCGCTGGTAGGACAAGTGCATGACAAGTGGGACAAGTGTATGAATATGGCACACCATGTTTCATGCTTTTCATAAATCTCTTTCCTAGCCACAAAAGTACTGCTGCTGCCCAAGCTGACCATGTCAGCCTGAGTACGGGTGCCATTCCTTCTCTATCTGGGAGAAAAATGCCTTCGCTATCTTTTTTTGCCGCTTACGCCCTGGCTTCCCTTCCTACGTGGCACAAAGATGTCACTAGAACAAATCTGAGGCTTGCTTGTATCTGCCCCACTTTGAACTAGAGGTGTCTCGGCCATCTCCTTGGCTGGCTGGTAGGCAGGCAGGCAGGCAGGCAGGCAGGCAGGCAGGCAGGCGCGCGCACGCACGCACGCACACACACACACACACACACACACACACACACCTCATGTACTCCTGCCTACTCCTGTTTCATAGTGTCAGCACTGAACAAGCTGTTGCAGTGGGAGGAGGCAGCATGCCTGCAGCCTTCCTTAAGGGCCTACTACTTCTAGCACAACCACCTTTCAGAACAGAATTCTGCTACAGCAGAATACAAAACCTCCCAATGAAAATCATACACGTAAACACAGAGATAAAAATACATATACAGTATATGAATACAGTATATGCATCTGTCTATATATAACAGCCTCTTGTTCCCCTGCTGGATAGACCACAAAGGGACTTAAATCTCCTCTAATATTTCCCTGTTGATTTATAACATATTCATCTATGAATCTATTAATCCTAAATCTTATTTACAACTGCATTAAATAAACAATATACAATGAGATGTAGAGAATATAAATGTAAATTGAGGGTTCAGAAAAGGAACCCTCGACTTACATTCATGGCCCCTTCACTGGGGATTTTTAAGAGACTTCTTAAAACATGGTTATTCGGACTGCTCTTTCTAGATGTTACATCAACAGAGGGCAGAGGTTCTTTTAGCTCTTAAGCTACCAATTCCACCATAGAATCATAGAATGATGGAGTTGGAAGGGGGCCTCTAAGGCCATTGAGTCCAACCCCCTGTTCAGTGCAGGAATACAAATTAAAGGATATCTGCCAGATGGTAAAGAAAATTCAAAATGTCTAGTAAATTTGTTCTTTAATATTTGGGAAAGGTCATTCAGTATTTTATTATGTACTCTTGCTTATTTAATTTTACATTAATTACATGTTTCTTAATTGACTGATATGCTTATTTAATTGTGGTTATGTTTTGTGGCTATTATTTATTCTGTTATTGCGGTATATTTTATGGCCTTAATAGCCAGATGGGCGGTATATAAATGTAATTATTTAATACAGGGAAAACTGCTGCAGTGCAGGCTTGCACCAGAGCATATCCTAACAGCTAATGCTGTAAAGATTTATAAGTAGCTATTCCCACCCTGAAATTGAAAAGAACCAATGTAAAAAAAAACACCTTTGGATGTCTGTGTCTGCTTCTAGATTTCACTGGAGCAGACAGACATAATTATCAGATTTTTGTCTTCTAATCTGTAGGAATAATTGGGACTTTGAATATTAAGAATTGTTATTGCAGATATTCAGAACTATCAAAATTGGATTTATTCAGAACTATCCGAATACGGCATTATTCAGTGAATTCCAAATATTTCTGAATCCAAATGGACATCCCTAGTCTCGCTTTATAATAAGCAATTGTAAATTCCGGCACAAAGATGAAGTCATTTGTACACCTTCACCTCCCCCTCATTTCGGAGATGATTCAATAATGGTATTTTTACAGATTTGCGGAGGACGTCTTCCTCTAACCACTGCAAAGCCTCCCCCTCCCCAATATCTGATGCTAAAGTCTAAAGCATCCTGGTGGGTCTGATGTGAGTCACAGTGACCCTGACTCATTCTCCTGAAACATTCAGGCTGTTTTTCTCTTTCTTTTGGCAATCACAACACTGGTGGTGAAGATGGTTGTTTTTTTTCAAGAGATAGTAGATGGTGTTACGCCTGCTTTAGAGAGGTGTTTTTTGAGACCAGGAGTAATGACGTGGTTTTGTTAAGACACAGGCTCACAACTGAAAAGGAACCTGAAGTTTTGTCTTCCGGAATCGTGAAGCACAAAAAAACCCTACATCCCACTTTCTCTCTCAACCTACAGCTTCCAAGCCTCCCGACTTTGGAGAACTTGTTTCTTCATTAGAAATAGGAAGTTGCTTCTGGGCCATTAGTGACTGGCATCGCTTCCTCGGTGACATTGCAAAGCCCCCACCTACTGACCTTTAGTTTTAGTCCCCGTAACTCTCAGGGCCTTGACAGCTGCTAAACTGGCAGTTCTCTAACGTGAACTCTGAACTGACAGCGACCCAAGATGGGAGATGGGCCTTGTAGCGGAACCCAAGAGATGATGTCATTCCTGCATGTCAATCAGAAGATAGAGCAGGAGGGGCGGAGTCAGAATGACAGTTAAGGCAGCTGGAAGAGACAGAGAGTTGGAATAAGACAGGGATAGAGAGAAGTAGGGACAAGGAGATGTGGAGAGAGTACTAGGCTTTAGGAAACGATAAGGAAATTGAAAGAGTAAAATATATTGAACAAGCAGGAATGAACACATAAGCATAACATAAGGAATACCAATGATTGAATACGTGATTTAATACTGTATATGCATACCTGACCCAGTTATATATTTGATTCTCCTTATGATTTTGTTCATTAATAAAAGAATGTTTGATCAAACCCTTTGATTCCTAAATTATATGATCAGCTCCTATGTGTGTGGGATTTGAATCGGTATTAAGAGAATACCTGGTGGCAGCGAAAAGGGCGTATTTACCTTTGTAGAGCCCAAAGATATCAAGGGCACAAAGGGGGATCGCCACAGGCCTCTTTCTGGATTTCTTCATTTATTATCCAAACATGAATTTGGACCAAAGGGCAGTAAGTAAACTGCAATCCATTCATCATTTCCATCTGAGGTGGGACATTATTTCGTCCTTTGTGAGTCACAGAGGATGACAAAGCGGATCACAAGTGAGCGATCTGTGCTTCCTTGCTATGTGTTCGCTCTGTAGCGTAGGTACAAAGCTAATCATGTCATCGTGACCAGATGAGAGCAATAAAGAGCTGCATGGCAAGTGTACAAAGACTCAGGATAATTCCAAGTTATTAAAAAAGTATTCTCCCAAGAGTCTATAGGCCTGGCTGATATAAGTAGTGCTTTTAAAAAGTTGCCAAAGAATCCATTTTTATTTTTATTTCCAAACCATTCCAAGGTGGCCTGCATTTTTTAAAAAAAAAATCTATCAAACCTGCAAATTAATGAAATTAACAAATGTACTTAGGCCAGGAATAATTAATACCAGGAGTAAAACCAATGCCAGGAATAATGAAAAGCATCCTGCCCAGACTGTACTAAAATCTGAAACTCCGCTGCAGCTAAAAACCCAGAATAATGACTAAAAGACTTTTTACCACAGAACAAAAATAATTACACTCATTTCTGGTTGCAGTTCATGAAAGTGATACTATTTTTGGACAACATAAGTACCTGATGCTGGCACAACCGGCTGAAAAACTCAGAAGAAGAGGAATTCGTTGTCACTAATTCTGTATTCTGATCAGAAAGCTCTTTGTGATATATGAAGAAAAGTACGTCATGCTCCCTTGAAAGGTCTCTGTGGGAAGGAGGGAATCACGTTGCCTACATAGCAGCAGTGTCACCTGTAAGGAAGCACATTGTGTTTCCTTCCTCCCTTGTTTTTGTAAGAGAACGGAGGGGGTGTATTTGCCCTTGAAACAATCATTCTGGAATTTTTTATTTCTCCCTGTCTAGTACATCAGGCCAACAGGAAAGGTTTGAGAGAACTATGCTAATCCCCCTCAGATACTTAAGTGGCTGAAGAAATGTCTTCCACATAGTCTGAAGATCTGGGCCATCAAAGTTACTGCACCTCAAAGTTACACTAGCTCAATGCTGCACCCTCTTAGGTCTACATCTTTAGGAATAATGGGATTTGTACTTTGAAACTTTCTCAGAGTTCCCTGCTAGCGTTCAGACATCCAGGAACCACAGCAGAAAATCCTAAATTCTCCAGCAAGTCATCAATCCAAGAATTCCAGGGGAAAGATCTATGGCAGCTATAAGTATTGCTTGATTGAGATAACTAGGTTGTGCAGATATGCCCCCCCCATCGCTATAGTGTTTCTTGGTGGTGGCTGCTACTAGATTGCTTATTCATTCCCAACAGCTACGTACATTCCTCAAGCTGAGGAGAGGAATAAGAGAGACAAAGAATAACAGCTATTCCCCCCTCCTTTTAAATCAGAAAAACCAGGAAGTATATGCCATTCCAATTTGCAGATTAAAGCAATTTACAAAACCCAGACATTCCCCCCCATAGTTATATCTTGTATTAAGATAATTTATATTTATATTCACAGCTTGCCAGCATCTTTTCACTAGAATCAGCCCTTCTGGGATCAGGAGAAACACGTTGTAATATGCAAAGACTTTTCCCTTTGGACATGGGCCTGAATAGCAAGAGATCCCACTGGAATTAGTGAGGAGAGTTGGTCTGTGGCTATTGACTGTTTGAATTCTCTATGTGGTGGCTTCAAATTATTTTCCCCTTCTTGTCTTCAACTGATTAGTAAATACAGACATACTTTTCCCAACACTTAAAAAAAAGTAGGGAAAATCCAGAAGATTGCAGGTCTAACAATAGAATGGGGGACTGGCAAGCGCTTCTGGGCTAACTAGTTGTAGAAATAAACACAGAAAGAATAAATGGGTCTAGAAACGGTGTATGACCTTACTAACAAGGTAATAGGGTGCTTCTGAAGAACCATATCACCTGCCCACAATTAGTTTTTTTTTTCTTACTACTGCCAGGATTTGAGCAAGCAGGCTCAAACATTGTGACAATAGAACTCCTGGAGAATTTGGTTACTTCCCTTGTAGTTATCAGAGTGAGGAATGTGCAGAGATCAGTCCAATTTTACCACCACCACCTCCCTTAGTGACTAGCACTTTATGTTTTAATAATGAAACAAAAAGCATTTGAAGTAGAATATAAGGTATCTTTACTTACAGTTACTGCCTGTAGTTATAATCAGAAGAATAAAAAGAATAAAACAATGAGTCAGAGTCATTGCTATGGAGAGGAGACGTCCTCCACATCTGCTACATAGTTTTTGGTCAGAGGAAACTAACAAAACAAAATACAGTATAGAAAGAAAGAAACAGGAAGAGGGGTTGGGGGCTTGCCTCAAGTGAGAAAAGAACTCCATCAATGAAGGCAGTGGCAAAACAAAATCACTTTAGGCCATAAAATCCCCCTCACACTGATACTCAGTGTTAGTGCATGCAAGATTGCTATTATCTCAACAGGCATTCTGTGCCCTGGCTTTCTCCAAATGGGCCCAAATGAGTGGATCCAGCAGCTCTCCTCAGTCTCCCTTGCTGGTTCCTGACTTGTGGGGCACTAATGTTGTACAGTTACAACACACATACATACATCTTTGCAGTGAGCCACTGTGCCAGCTGGGAACAGATAGAGACGGGTGCCCAGGCTTTAAGGTCACCTGACACACAACGATCAAACTCCCACCTGCTGCTTACCTTGAGATTTGTCTCCCCATCTGGAGCCCTAGAGAAGAGTAGCAACTCCTTGAGGCGTCCAGTGTCCAGAGACATAACAAGCTGCCTCTTAGCACTGTTTCATAGTACAATTCATTGCCCAAACTATCTTTCACAGCTTCGTCCTTCTGGAAGGTGGCGTTCAGACAGGCAGAAATGAAACCACCAGCTTTCATGCAGAAAAGAAGGCTGCTGTTTTCCTCCACATTTATGAGCCGACAGCCCAGTTTGTCAGTTCTTGTTGACAAAGACCCGAACCTCACTGGATAAACTCGCTTTCCTAAACTGGTGAAATTATTTGCTTTGAGGATGATTCAGTAGCAGCCCCTCTCTCATGTCTAAGAAATGTATTTCCATCATCATATGGTCTTTTAACCCACACCCCAGTTGTCTCTCACTTTTTGAAAGTTAATAATAAAAGATAATAATGCAATTGAAATCACGACATAGCCTCCTGATGACTAAGGACTTCCTCATGGTCTTTTCCCTTCCTTTTTACGTCAGTGCTTATTTTATTTGCTTTGTGAGCTACAAGGTGTTTTATCTTTGGCTGGAACTAAAGTGGATGCAGGTTGGATTGATCTAGAGCCGTTCTCTTTTCACAGGTTGGCAGGTGGGCGTTGGATAGTGTGTGTCATTTGTAGGAGGCAAACGTCAAAGGAAGTGGGCTTAACTTCAAGGAGTTTCATAATTCAGGTACTTAATATTGAGTTTCCTGAAAAGAATGAGCAGAGGACAACTACAGAAGGTCTTTTTAAAAAATAAAAAATAAAAGTTCACCTCATGCAGTGGAAGTGGCTTGGTATCTTCCCTCATTTCATCAAATTATGTTGTTTTCTGGTTTTGTTTGTTTGTTTTTACTTTGCTTTAATAAACCTACAACTGAAAGTGGCTGTCTATCTCTTCAAGCAAGCTTACGGGTTTCAGAGTGACCTGTATGGATTCTGTTATAGCCTACATAATTCTAAGAAGTAGGTATGTATCTACACATTCAAATTCTGATCCATCGTATTTGTTGCAGCATCACAGCTAGGTAATGTCTTTATGAACAATCAAAAGGGCAGGAAAAAAAACTGCAAGCTTTTAGGTTACCCAGGACTCTTCATCAGGCTTGGTGATATAAAAACCAGGGGACGGAGGAAGGAACAATGAAGTACATGTAATAGCTCAGGTCTAATTTAGGGATTTCCTGACTCCCTCCCCCCCCCAAAAAAAATAGACTGGTACAGCTATTTTCTTTTTCGTTCTGTGCACACAGCAACACAAATACCAATATATCTGAGCCTCATTTTATATTGAGATGTAAATAATATTGTTTCCTTCTGGTTATGAAACAGAATAGTGGGAAATACTTTGTTTGATACTATAACATGAGGCTTGTGTTTTTTTGTTGTTGTTGTTGTTGAAGGAGGCTGTGATTTACAGTAGGCTGTAGTACTGAACACTGTAGCATTTTTATTTTCTAAACTTGGTGTTTTTCACAACATTAAGGGATAGTGGGATGTAGTCAGTTCTGTTGTCAGGAGCATTCATTCTAAACAGTGTTTATACCCACAAAGGGCTTGTATGGCACTTTTGTTTTGAAACCTGGCGCGGAACAATAAGAGCTGATTTGAAAGCCGAGCAAGACATTTTGAAAGGCTCTGGAAAAGAGTTTGCAAGCATTGCCCGTGAAGCGTTGCACCCAGGTCACTTCTTCCCATTCCAGCGGATTTACCTGGGCATGGAGCTCAGTGTTTTTAGTTTGATTTCTTTTGATCACATAATTCGTTTGTGTGTTTGACTCTTCAGCCAACCCCCCATTTGAAAAAGGGCATAGGGTGAGACATAATTTTGGGTACAGGCACATTAGTGTCTGGGGGCGGTTTCATATGGCCACTCTGCTCCTTCCACACCTCTACCATACCTGAACCTGTGACAGCTCTTCTCTGAAGGCAGTGAATGGGACAGTGTCTTATCTGCCATAAAATGCCTATTCAGGATGACACATTTTTTTGCTTCTGGAAAATGAGTCATCAAAACAGTCGACATGTGAGTGCCTCCTGGAAGCTGAGCTTCGCTCATATGGTTATGTTGTTTGTTTGAACTGCTGGCTCCATATGGATAAGATCTAAAACAAACAACAAGTTTTCCATATTACTGACAGCGCCTCTGAAGAGAACTGCCAGCATAAATATCCCAGTAAAATCAGATGATACACTTATCTCTTGTTTAGAAGAAGACCTTCCTCAAGTAGTCAGAAATGTCTGTTTGTCCTAGCAGATGCTTTTCCTCACCTCTGTGTCTTGCATCCCAAGGTGTTTTTGTTTTGTTATTGGTCACTGGAAGATAAACCCAGGCTTAATTTGCAGATTTTCAGGCACCTATCCATGAAGAAATCCCATGGTTAAAGGGAAAATCTGCTGTTTGCAGGTAATCTATAATTCCCTGAATCACCAATACAAACATTAGTGGGCTGCTTGCATGCACTGTTCAAATGAAGGTCATGATTTCATGAAGCACGCAAGAAAGCATTGCCCGCCTGAGAATCCTGCGGGCACCCCTGTCCGGGGACCCCTCTCGACCAGCACTGAGGAGCTGACCTTCCTGCCTGTCCATCCTCCATCATGAATTGTTCAGGGGGATAACAGCAGCAGTGTGGACAGGGGATGCCCCCCCCCGCCATTCCCTATTCCTGTAGTGCCCCACAATGCATATTGCAGCATTGTTTATGGGTTGTGTGGGAAATTACAAAGGGGAGGTGAAGGGCCAGTTGGTCAGCCTGAACCTGCCACTTCCTACAACATCAGTCTAGCCCACTAGAGTGTTCTAAGCCACTGAAACTGGGCCGGGGTCTTAGAATCCTTTGGCTGTTGCCAATGGGCTTCCTCAAGCTAATATGCCACTGTTTTCCTCCATTGTGAAGCAACTATGTTTTCGTCACTCAGTGATTTGTTTGTTCCCTTGCTGTTTAACCTTCATGAACCTCTCCTATAATTGCTACTGTTTCCTAACGTAATCATTTTGTACATTTGGAGGTTGGTTTGTTTTTTTAATTCTCCCTGTGACTCAAGCCTATCTAAGTGCGGACTAAATTACTGGGACTAAATTGTCTTGATTCATGGCCAGGGTTCAAATGATATTTGCAGGACTAAATTTCTAGAGCATGAACATATGTTCTGAGAGGATACTGTACTTAATAACAGCTCAGCTCTTTAGACTCCTTTCCTGAAAACATCAGCTTAGGTAATGGTACCCAAGATGTAAACCTAAACGTTAGCATAGGAGCTGCACTTAACAACGTAAAACTGAGGGTCCAATTACACTCTATGGGAAATGTGTATTTCCTGTGATTACAGGTGTGCAACCCACCCGATATTCAAACAAAACCCATGTTTACCTCCCCATGACCGATCATAAAACAGATGCAAATTAATTTGGCAAATGTGGAGTAGGGCATACTTATGCTCAATGAACAGAATACACCTTAAAGGAGCTCCACTTCAAATGACATGCTACCTATTAACATTTGATTTGAGCCTTAATCTGCACTGAGCTTAAACTGAAAGCTAAATCTGTTCCTCCTGTCTATAAGCAGATTTTTCCATTAGCTAGGCCTGTCTTATGGCCCT